AACTTACCCATTCGTTTCAAGATATGGACATTCGACTCTTATTGTGAGCTCTTTCGGTTGCAAGTTTAACTTTCCTAATGTCTTGGATCTGGCAGCAGGTTGTGTCCGGCAATCTCACTATTCTGGTGCAGGCTAGCTTCGAGAGCGTGGAGGTGAATTTCCCGTCGCAGAAGCGTTACGGGGCTGCTGCGATGATCAAGTCGCAGTGTATGTGCCTCCTTCTGCAGTCCATCGGGGCTGTCCGCCTCAGTCGTGCAGTCCAGTACCCTCGCTGTCCGATGTGGGCCCGCCAGCCATGGGCCGCCTTCCCAGCAGCTACGCAGGAGATGATGCTCACAGATATTGGCACGGAGTGGGATCTTAGCAGCCAATGTACCCTGGCTCCTGAACCCACTGCCACTGCGATTCATGTACTATTCAATCATGTTGGCTGCTACATCGGAAACGCGAATTTACAGAGGAGTGGTGCCATCAAATCTGGACTCAGTGCACGGGCGCTGGAGTATCTCCGAGCGGTGCTCCTCCCATGGACGCGAGATGGGAAGCTTGCGCGGATTCCACCCTACGAAAAAGCGTGGCCTCCATTTCTTTCGTGCCTTAAGCTCGATGCCGAAATGCAAGCCTCGGCAGTGAGGACGACTTTGATCAAGAGTCTGGCGCCAAGGTGCAATCGCGCTGATGTTGAACAAGTGGGTGCACGGCAATTTCAAGGTCAACCACTTCGCCCTGGACGTGCCCGTCCTCGTCGGCGGCCTCCTCCACGGCTACGAACTCGCGGACAACGCTCGGTACGGGCCTCCAGAATATTTGCGACGTGCCATGAGAAACGATAAGCTCCAGAACGGATGCCAGTCATACATGATAAAAAAGGTACGTATCGTGAGCTGTACCATTACTTGCAGCTGTCGTCCCTCATGCTTGCTGGATTCGTGGGGCCTCTCAATATGTCGATTCACCATCACAGCCTTCTTTCTGCGTATTGTTCAACTGAATCTGCGCTTCTCGACTTACCTCCCAAATGGCCAGACATCGAGTTGGTGCAAGGCTCACCGTGACAGTTCTGGGTGGTGGAGCGCAGTCTGCAGCACGCAGATGTTTGGAACGCACGCTGCGGCGAGTCCGGTTGCCCCCTTTGGCTGTCAAGCTGCTTGTGATTCCGACCGAGCTCCGACGGCAGAGATGTCTCATTCGCAAGTTGGTGTACTTCAGCTTAGCTCGGATACGCAGGCATCAAGCGAGACGTTGGATCCAATAGCGCATTCGCATTGTTTTTTCGGTAAGAGCCCCGCGTGGCAAACGAATTTTAACTGCAAAGAAGCCATTCGGAATTTTGACTTGGTGAAGGGGCCCTGGGACACACGAAGAAGCACACACACACAAATAACAGGATTCCCCATACCTTCCCACATTTTCCGGGCTTCTGTCTCCCCTCACACACTTCCCCTATTTCCCCAGACCTTCCTGGGGAATCGACGATCAATTGTGTCTGCGTTTTTTTCCCTCCCGATTTGGAGCCATCGCGTGCACCTGCGCCCGCTGCGCTCGGAGAGAAGGCCAACCTTGCCTCGCCGGGGGCGCGCGCCGGGCCCTGGAGGAGCTGCCGCCGTGGCCGACGCTGCCGCGAGTCCAGGCCAGGGCCAGGGCCAGTTGGCGTTGAGCAGGGACCGACCCGCCCAGCATTCCTACAGTCCTGCCACGAAATGTTTTCAGAACCCAACAGCGTCCTGAGAACAGAGACAGTGTTCTCAGAACGTGGGCCCGAGGTGTTCAAACAAGACAGTCTCAACCAGAGATGTTCTAAAGAACATGTCGTGGGAATCACAAAAGGTTCTCAGAACATTGTTTGGTAGGGCTAGAGGCGAGCCAAAACGCCTCGCCACTGCTTGAAAATTTGAGAGTGGGCGCATTCACACCGGCTTCACCCTCGAGTCGCCCGCGAAAAGGGAACCTCTCTTGCGAGGCCGACTGGTGGATGTGGAACTCTCAGAACAACCGCCAGACTGGGCTCACCAGGACGAGTTATGTTAGCATATATGCCCCGTCTTCAAAAACTGTTTTGGTTCCAGACGACCGCGATGCGCAAAAAGCTTGGACAGTCAACGCTGTATTGCACGACACTCTGTGGACAATTCGGCAAGATTTCACGACCGAGCAAATCATTCCACGGTGTTTTGCCCGTGCGCAAGCGGGGGTGCCACATTGGTTGCGTGGGAAGCCGAGGCGACCAGGGCGTCAGCTTCGACCGCCTGCGCTCTTCGTTTTTGTGAAGTCTAAGTGCTTTGCGGACACCAGGGAGAAGCGATGTCGAACATCAAATCATGCATGTGTCCGCCGATTTCTCGACATGTCTGAAATTCCTTATGCTTGCGATTGGAAGGCGTGCGCTCGCGGCATTCGGGCCGTCGTGCAATCCACGGGTGCCACGCGCGAAATATTCAATATCAATTATGCCGTTCCCCTACTCAGCTCCGGCCTACAGAATTTAGCCGCAAACCCAACAAGGGTTTGTAGATGCTGCGGTGCACGGCTGGAGCAGCCGCTCACGGCGGTATCCGCTGACATCGACCAAGCTTTCGAGGCGCGCGCAGCCAGGGCCGCCCCCGCCTTCATCCGATTACAACAGAGATTCCGGGATCCTAAGTGCTGCGAGGTCTACGTCACAAAAGGCCCTCGGTACAGATTTAAGTGCCCCGCGGCAGGGGCATGTTGTCAAGGTTAGCTCTCGCTCAGTCTTTGTGCGCTTGCTGCTGCCCTCCAAGCTGCCACCCTCAACCTCATCACGTTCAGTACTTTAGTGAACTTTAGTGATCGAGTTAGTGGGTCTCTCAATTAAGGGGGCGATGTCGGCTGCTGCCGTGTCGGTGGTCCTCGGGGATGAACCTGAGGTCCTGGACCGAGCAGTTCGCAGCCCGGGCTTCCCAAATCTCTCGCCTGCGGATATGCCCCGACACGTGTCTGGCCGAGATCTGTTGACGACGTGCTATCGTTTTCGATGCAATATTGCGGCTGCTGCCTCCGCTGTTTCCTGATCCAAGTGCATGCTGATGAGCCTCTGCCTGTTGTATTCGGCAGCGGAAGTACGGGAAGCGAAATCCAGCGGGGCATACCTTCACAGTTTGAGTGGCTGGACCTGGAGTTCTCTTATTTCGTGGATTCCCTAGCGTGGATCACCAAGAACCCGAATAGGCAATGTGTGCACGGTCTCGGGGAGGAGAAAAGAAGCAATGTGCTACCTTGGCTGGCGAAACGGGATCAGAAGGACAAGAAACCCAAGAACAAGATGTCATCCAGCAGCTCGAGTTCGAGCGACACCGAGGCGCGGGTGGAATTATGCGAGAAGTATTCGGAGAAGCACAGCAAACAGTACCGGAGGTACTGCGAGCACATGAAGGAGCAGGAGAAGGCCAAATAGTATGAGCGCCAAAGACAAAAATCATTGCGGACGCAAGTCGTCCGCAGCTTCAAACAGCTCTGCAAGAAACTGCGAAGAAAACTGGTTCTGGCGAGGGCCCTGCCGGACAGGGGGATCCTCTTCGAGCTCCTCCTGGGCCGGCTTCGGCGCCCGCTCAGCAGCAGAGGAGTCGCACGCCAATTCCGAGGAGCTCACGCTCTTGCAGCGCGCCTTCATCGAGGCGGCTGTGGGCCCCAACGTGATCAAGTTCTCGAACGGCACGCAGAAGCACATCAGGGAGACGCTCGAGGGCGCCTGGGACAACCCCAAGGTGGCCAAGGTGATCGACAGCATCACCAAGACCCACGGCGGCGGCATCGCGGTGCCCCGGAGCAACGTTGATCGCAGCAGCACGCTTGTCTCGGTTGTTCAGAAAATGGGCTGAGATGGTATCGTTAGCAGTCTTACTACATTAGTGGTTGTGGTTACAAGTCCGAGTTCTTGATCTTCACGTTGATTGTCCTGTACATGCGTCACTCTATCGATTTACAGCCTGCTCCTGTATCTTGCTGTCTGGTCTGGGTCTCAAGCCGGCGCATGGACAACGCACCAGGAGCACCTGCATTATCTTCAGCGAGTGGGGATGTAAATGCTATGGGCTAGTTTTTCCAGCTACATGGGGTGGAATTCAGATACTCTTGGGTATCAGACAGGATCAATGATTCTAGCGTCGATTACGCCCAATGGTGAAAGTAGCACCTCCACGGATATTGTCAACAGTGGAATGCTGAATGTGTCACCATGGGCGATGGGAAAAAATGCTCAAATTTGCTGTGGAGTTGGGTAGTTTCTGGCGGTGAGTGTTCGAGATAGGAGGCGCGTGTGAGACGAGGCTGAATGAATGTCTGCTCTCATGGATTGCTGCCCTCCTCTTCTCTCCAGCAACCCCCTGGAGGGTCAACAACTATCTTTCGTAGTTGTACCAGCTCCGAGCTGCTGCTTTGGCGCACTGGCGCTGAAGTCAGAGCAGCTGGACCCTCGGGAGTCACAGGGATGACTGTGCGAATGGTCCTTGCCACATAATCTGCACGATCGCCACCGGTAACAACGAAACCAACACCAACACCACCAACAACAGCACCAACGACAACAGCAACAACAACAACACTCACATCAACACCAACAACAACACTACCAACAGCAACAACATCATCAGCGACACCAACACCAACACCAACACCACCACCAACAGCAACAGCAACAGCAACAGCAACAACAACCACGACAAAGCAAGGGCGACCAGCGCTGACCCGTCGGGACCCCCCCCGGCAACAACCACAACAACTACCCCCCACACACACACACACAACACCACAACAACGCCGTTTCAAATCGATTTCTGTGAACAACAACAACAACAGCAACAACAGCAACAACAGCAACAACAGCAACAACAGCAACAACAACAACAACAACAACAACAACAACAACGGCCACGATGAATACGACGACGATGACGACGACGGCAACGTCGACGACAACGACCACCACGACGACGCGAGGCCGAGGGCGTGGGCGCCGTGCCCTCTTCCCGACAAGGGGCGGGCGCCTGGCACCTGCTCTTCCACCGTGCCCATGACGCGCAGCTTGGCGGCCATTCTGGGGTGTGGGCGAGGCAGCGAGGCAGAGGAGGGGAAGGAGGGGGGGAGGAGGAGGAGGAGGAGGAGGAGGAGGAGGAGGAGGAGGAGGAGGAGGAGAGGAAGAGGAGGAGGAGGAGGAGGAGGAGGAGGGAGCGAGGTAGAGGAAGGGAAGGGGGGAGGAGGTAGCGAGGTAGAGGAGGGAGGAGGAGGGGAAGGAAGGAAGGGGGGGGATGGAGAGGGGGGAGGGGGGAGAGGGACGAGGCAGGGGGAGGTCAGTAGGGGGGAGGAAGAGGGGGGCGAGGGGTAGGCCCTCCCCGCTCTCAGCATGGCCTCCGACCTGGGAGGAGGGGCGAAGAAGGGAGCGCGAGGAGGACTCTTCCTTCTCCCTCCCCCCCGCCTCCACCTGTGCAGACGCCCTCGCCCTGCTCCTCCTCCCCCCCCCCCCCCCCCCCTCCCCTCCTCCTGCGCCACCCATTTCCATGTCTCCACCTCCTCCTCCTCCCTCTCCTCCTCCTCCTCCTCCTCCTCCTCCTCCTCCTCCTCCTCCTCCTCCTCCTCCTCCGTTCGCTCCCTTATAAATGACTCGTCCCTGTCGCATACCAAAGGCAAGGCCGAACGGGCGGGCCGGGCGTCTGGCCTGAGGCGTCCGCACCATTTGCGATCCTGGAGGTTGAATTGCGCAACAGTTCCACGGATGGAGGGCGAACGGATTTTCAAACGGTGGCGCTCACTTTAGCGCTGCGCGCACTTGCCTCAACCATTTGAATGCAAGAACTTCACATATGGAGGGCGGGTCATTTTCAAAATGTTGCTCTCGCCGTAGCGCCGTGCTTTTCTGCTTTCAACACTTGCAACCGCTTCACGGATGGAGGATGGTTCCTGTTTAAAATGTGACTCTCGCCTTAGCGCCGCGAACAATCGTTTTAAGAATTCACAAGAGCTTCAAATTATCGCTTGATGTTTTGGCACGATGCCGGACTGGCAGGGCACAACACTTACGTTTATTCATGGTGCTGAAATCACAGAAATGGTGTTCCACCAAGGCTTACGATCTTCAAGACGCAACAATGAGGGTGATTCGCGGCATTGAAATCCCGAGAACGGTGTTCTGGCACAATGCCGGATTTTCAAACGGTTGTCTTCCAACGGGGTACTGCCCGCAATAAACATGGATCCTTGTAGGGGCTAGGGAGCTGGAGCTCGGGGGATTTGCTGCACTATCGATGTTGGCTCTTGAGTTAATACTGGTCCTCCTCGTCCTCGTCCTCGACGTCGTTCTCGTCGTCGCTATCGTCCTCCTCCTGGTCCTTTTGCTCCTCCTCTCCCCCTCATCTTTCTTCTGCGCATGTAAGCTAACGACCAAAGAGTCGTCAGAAAATAGTCCCCGGACTATTTTTGGACCATTCCTGGCCTATTGTTGGGGGGTATTTTTTTGCATTTTTCGCCGAAAATTCCCCTGTAGGGGGACACGCCCGACGTAACCGCAGGTAGAGGGTCTGGGGGCGGGTCTGCCGCTCCGAGCCGCCCGTGGAGAATCCCGGGGGCCTGGCGGGGGCTCCGGGAGGCTGACCTGCCCAAGGTTTCCCGACTCGCTAATTACTTCACGCGAGCCCTACCCTTAGACTACCCCTACCCTTACCCCTACCCCTACCCTTACCCCTACCCTACCCTTACCCCTACCCTTACCCTTACCCCTACCCTTACCCCTACCCTTACGAGGGGCCACACGCGAACCCTACCCCTTACCCTTACCCTGACCTTCCAGGAGGGCTCACACGTAGCACCAGGACGTCGGCGTCCTGATCCCTGTCTAGGCTTGAGGCAGTCCCGACACACGCGAACCCTTAGGTCGAGGCAGGTCCGGGAGCGGGTGCCGATCCCCTTTTGTCCCCCAGTGCCGCGGGCGGGCGGCGCTCCACCGGCCGGGCTGCGGCCTCGGGGTGCGCTTCTCGGGCCGGGCGAAAGCGGGGGGGGAGAGTCACCCTGACCTTCCAGAGCGCTTGAAAATGGCACTCCTGACCTACAGATCTATCTGGACTGCCTCAAACCTCGACAGGGATTTAGGACGTCGACGTCCTGGTGCTATTTCTGGCCATCCTGGACGGTCAGGGCCAAAGGGGGGCGTTTGAGAACCAGCTCACGCAGCTGCGTTCCCCGGCGCCTCCCGGCGCTGGGAGGCGCCCACGTATCGAGGGATAGCCACCCTGACGTTCCAGGAGGGCAACCAAAGTAGCACCAGGACGTCGGCGTCCTGATTCCTGTCGAGGTTTGAGGCAGTCCAGATAGATCTATAGGTCTGGAGTGCTATTTTTTAGCGCTCTGGAAGGTCAGGGGAAAGGGGCGGCTTGAGAACCAGCTCACGCAGCTGACTTCCCCGGCGCCTCCCGGCGCCGGGAGGCGCACACGTATCGAGGCATGGGCCCAGCGGCGGGGCCGAAACCAGCTGCGTTCAGCAGATTTCGTACCCCCCCCTTTCCCTATCCCCCCCTTTCGTCCGGCCCGATTTTCATCCGGAAACCCCTGCTCTGGGTTTCTTCATAAGCGTGGGGGGAGTACCCCGCCGACGGGAGTCAACATCGCCTCGTCGTCGCGCCGCGACGGGGGTCGGAGCGCCTTTGGCGGGCGGTGGCTGCCCGCGACGGGGGTCGCTGTGGGGCTGAGGGCGGGGGTGACGCCGACGCTGATTAAGAAACTCAGTGTAGTGGCCGACACGCGCGCGCGCAGATAAAGAATTCAGCTGTCACCAGAGGTTGTGGCACGGCTCTGGCCAGTGGGGCCGGCGAGAGTGTGTATATATATGTGTGTGTGTATGTGTGTATGTGTGTGTGTGTGTCCGTCTGTCTCTGTCTGTCTCTGTCTGTCTCTCTGTCGTCTGTCTGTCTGTCTGTCTGTATGTATTTAAACATCACATATATATGTAGATCTATTATATATGCATGAGCGTGAACTTGTATGTGCACATACTAGGACAATGGCGGGCGCTTCGCGCGCGCTCGAGTTTTGGCTAGGCTGGATGGTCGAACTCTTGGGGACCTCCATGCCATGATATTTCTTCTGGGGCTTCCAAGAACAATGAAGACGGCCCGAATGGCTTCCAAGACTTCCGACGGCCCACCCGCGGCGGCTCAAGACAGGCTCAAGAGGCACTTCGGGGGCCCTTCTCTTCGCCGCGGCTGGACGCCGCCGGAAGACGAGGGAGGAACAGAGGAGGTGAAGGGATTGCCTGAGGGAGAAGAAGGAGGATGAGAAGGAGGAAGGAGGAGTAGGAGGGGGGATAGGAGGAAGAGGAATAGGAGGAGGAGGAGGCGGAGGAGGATCAGCCGCAGCAGCTGGAGCAGGACGAACAAGTCATGGGGAGGATGCAGGAAGGAGGTGGGCATACCGTTGGCCGCGATGGTGAAACAACTCCGCCGGCGAAGCCCCCGAGTAGACCTCCTGGACTTGAGCGCCAGGAGGTCTACTCGGGGGCTTCTGGGTCGCCGTCGTCGCCGTCGTCGTCGTCGTCGTCGTTCTCTTTGGTGTCGTCGTCGTCGTATCCATTGTCGTCGTCGTTGTCGTCGTCGTCGTTGTCGTCGTCGTCGTCGTCGTCGTCGTCGTCGTCGCTGTCGTCGTCGTCCTTGGCTTGGCCTCTGGCACATCGGGGCTCGAGGCCCGATGATCGAGGTTCTGGGAAACCATCCTTGGCCACTTTGGGTCTACTTGTGGGCGTTCCGGGCGATCTGGGAGCTCTCGTGGACCGGCTCTGGGACAACTCGGAAAAATTGGGAATCTGCTGCTTCCCCTTTAGTGCAAGGTGCAGCCCAAGGGGCGCCAGGGCCAAATTCCTTAGCGGCAAGAGGGGAGGAGTCGATACTCCAGGCACGCTTGAGGCAAATGGAAATGTTGGAATTCCCTTCTTTTCAAATGCCGCAGGGCCTCTTTTGGGGCTCCTTTGGACCTCTTTAAGGCTTCTTGGGGACCTCGTGAAGCCTCCTGGGGGTCTCCTGAGGTTCTCGGCTCACGCTCCCGATCCTGGGCCGTGGTTGGGGCCCTCTCGGGCCGTCTTGGAGCTGTTTTGGGGCTGTGTTGAAGACTGTTGGGCCGTCTTGGGGCGATCCTCGGGGCCTCTTAGGGCGTCTTGCAGCGTCGGGAAGCGAACATGCGGAAACGCCAGAACCAGCCAAAAGCCGAAGAAACATCACTGTTTGTTAGCCTATTCGAGCTCTCTTGGGAGACTTCTTGGAAGCCTCTTGGGTGTCTTGGGTGCTTCTTGGGCCGTCTCGAGGTCGTCTTGGACCGTCTCGGGGGCCGTTTGGGGTCCTCTTGTTTCGTTTTGGTACCCCCTTGGCCTCTCCAGGCCGCTTCTGGAAAGCGAATCGGGGGGTAACAAAAAGCTTTCCTGGATGGTTGCGGAGTGGCCGCCTCCAGGCCGGGGTGTGTATATATACACATACAATCGTGTCACGTATGTATGTATATATGTACAGACATAGGTGAACACATACATGTATGTACATACACACGTAGCCACACATATACATATATACCTACACACTAAATCCACGCGCGCGGTTCGCGCAAACTTATTTTCTAGTGCGACGCTCCACGACACAATGAATGCACATGTGGCAACATCCGCGTAAGGATCGAAGATTGCGACGACAATGGACAAGGCAGTACCCACCACAAGCCCCACATGTTCTTCTCACTCATCCTCCTGTTCCACCTTCAACTGCTCCTCCTGATCCTTCTCTTCCGCTTTCGGCTCCTCATCATCCTCTTCATTCCCATCGGGACCTCATCCTCATCGTCCTCATCGTACTCATCATCATCCTCCTCCAGCTCATCATCATCGCCCCCGTCGTCGTCACCGTTGCCTCCTCCGCCTCCTCCTCCTCCGCCTCCTCCTCCTCCTCCTCCTCCTCCTCCTCACCCGCGTGATCCTCCGGCTGTTGTCAAGCCCCCTCCTCTCGTCCGCTCTGGCCTCCACCCTGCTGCCCCTCTGCGTCCTCGTCGCCCTCGCCCCCCCGCACTCCTCT